CTGCCATGACCACTGCAGCCACACCCACCCGGCACTCGGTGATAAATAAGTGGGTTTTTGTTTGCAGTTTGGGCACTGGGTCTCTAAAAGGTTCGCCATCACTGATAATAGGTAGTCCTTGACACAGGACCATAATGGAGCCTGCCCATCAGGCTCAATTTTGCAACCTTTTTCGCAGCAGTCATTAAGCAAAACACTGTAGTCGTTTAGGGAACCGATGGTTTCGCTTCTCATCCAAAAGAAGCTTCTTCAGCTCAGGCTTCAAGAGCTGAAGAAGCTTCTCATCTTCAAAGAAAAAGAAGAAAGTCCGGCTGCCTCGTGAAAAAGCATCTTTGGGATACGGAGTGGATGAGATCTTCAGGAAGAAAGAGACCCAGACATTTGGAGAAGAATAGACAATGAATGAAGGGGGGTATAGAAGGAACACAAGGAAGGACGGGGTGCAAGAAGAGAAAGGGATGAGGAATTGGAGCAGCTGGTGCAGGGAAGCAAATTGTCGTCAGACTGAGAACTGGTAGGATCACGTGCAGGAGATCTGTCAGCATGAATGAATGCCCCCACTGCGGGATCCACCCGTGTGCCAGCCTGTGAGGATTACGGTGCCTACCACTCGTGGAGGAGATGACCACGATGTTCCCCTTAGATTCCAGCAATAGGTCCATGGCAGAGATGGTTAACTGGACGTAGCTGAAGAAGTTCAGATTCATGGACGTGATCACCGACTCCATTGATCCTTTGAAGGGACCAAATGAGGTTCCGCCAACGTGGTTCAGAACCAACTGGTCGAGACCTCCTGGGGGAGAAAAGGACAGGGAGGCATTTAGTGCCCAAACACACAAAAAGCAAATCACAAAAAGCAAACTGATCTTTTTCTGGTGCTGGCTTGCTGCCCCCCCGAGGGGGTCTTCCAGCACAGAGCCCCCGGGCAGGGCAGCTGGGCACGCAGAGAGCTGCAAAGGGGCTCGATCCTGACATCACAGGTCAGCAGGAGCTCCAGCCTGGAGGAAGCCTAGTACGGGCAAAGGTCGGTCAGCCAGGCCAGCACAGGGCAAGGCATTGGGTCTTAAAGCCTCTGTAGGGCCAGGAGCCAAAATGGTCGATCCTCTAGAACAGGAAAGCTGCCCCTCACCCCTAAAGCTGCCCCCCCATTGCTGGCCATCCTTGCTTTTCCTACTCACTTTATTGTGTTATTAAATACAGCCATTTGGAATGCAAGGAGCCCTGATGGCCCAGTGGTCAGAATGCAGCATTGCAGGCAAACTCTGCCCACTGCCAGGAGTTTGATCCTGACCGGCTCAAGATTGACTCAGCCTTCCATCCTTCTGAAGTCGGTAAAATGAGGACCCAGGTTATTGGGGGGCAATATGCAAATCATGCTGACAGTGCTGCGAAGGACTATGGGGCAGTATATAAGGAAGGGCTATTGCTATTGAGCAGGGGGTTGGACTAGAAGACCTCCAAGGCCCCTTCCAACCCGTCTGTTATTCTATTATTCATATTGCCCAATATCGGTGGCCAACTCTGGATTCCAAGGGCCACATGTGATGCAGAGCACATGAAGCCCTTCTGACAAACACTTGAGACCAAACGTGTCTGTGTGCACGGCCCCGAAGCCCTGAAAAAGTGTCCCCAACAGGAGCACCACAAACATTTGAATTGCTCGTTGCCTTTCAAAGATGTTGCCCCTTTGCTGCATGGATTCTCATTCTGGAGGAGTCATGGAAATAGGAACTCTCCGGGCGCTCTTCTCCATGCAGGAAAGGAGGGTACAGCAAAGTCCAGGGATGGGGGAAAGGAGGACTTCTATAGGGAGGAATGGATGGGAAGGGCAGGGCAGGGAGACCCCTAAGTTCACTGGGTGGCTGGGATAGGTAAGGGAAGCTGAATACAGCCTTACACACAGAACATCCAATTCCTCAATCTCTCTTCCCCCCCCCCCCCCCGCAGGAGGCACAAGGGTTGGTCCTGGATGAATGCAAAATGTCATCTTTACCCAACTGGGCTTTGGTTTCTTCAACAACCACCTGGGCAGCAGTCAGATTGCTCATGTCCGCAACCACGTAGTGGGCAGAACTGGCACCCAGCTTTTGGCACTTCTGCACCACCTGGAAGGGGAAAAAAAAAGAGGGCAAAGGAATGAAAAGGACTCACAAGAACCAAGGTGTGTCCGCAGTATGTGGTCAAAAAAGGTCTCCAAAGTATCTGAGGGCAGGACAAGAAGCAACGGATGGAAACTCATCAAGGAGAGGACCAACCTAGAACTAAGGAGGAATTTCCTGACAGCGAGAACAATTAACAATTAAGTGGAACTGC